GGAAAAGGTATGGTCATCGCAACCAAAACCTGGATTCGGGAGTCGGTTACGCAAGGGGAAGGTATTAGCACCCCTCACGTCCATCGTACTCGATGGGATCCACGCTTGGTGTTTATGGGTAAAAGGGTGTGTTATCTATCTACGCTAATGGCTGGTCTGAAAAGAAAATAAAAGGACAGGACTCGACAGAACATACGGTGTTCTGGGCCTACGTATTCCCTCGTGCAATGGGAAAGTCAGAGTCAACGTAGTTCGACTGCCTACGTCTAAACGGGGGAAAGGTTGCTCGCCAGGACATCGCGTCCTGTGCCTACGTACTTCCATCTGAAATGAAAGATCAGAGCAAACGTAGTTCGGCTAACTACGGGTAAACAGGGGCTCTCACACAGCAGTGAGAAAACAAACTGGTCCTAAAGGCTCGGGAACCTACAACTACGATCTGGTCTCAAATGCACTCGGGCGAGAGAAAGGGATAACAATTAGTCGTTAGCGGGAAAGTCTCGATCGCACAGCCGCGAGAGAACAAAGGTTAGTCGTTAGTGTGCTCGCTAGGATATCGCATCCTATGCCTACATATCTTCGTCTGGAACGAAGAATCAGAGCAGCTGTAGTTCAGCTAATTACGGGTCAAGCTACTCAAAAACTCCTACAGAAAGGGAAGGGGAAACCCTAAAACTATAGCTGAGAAACAGGGGAATCTACCTACTGCTATCACCTGGCTGACCACCCTAATGTCTATCATAACAACTCCGCAGCGGAGAAGTCAGAGCTCCTAAGGGATCATGGCAACAGGATTAAACTACAAACAAGAAACTGCAACGTAAAGAAATACTGAAAATATGCATGAATGCAATGATTAGACAAACAAGGCACAGAGGCCGCAAACCACAAAGGCAAGGGAGCTCAGCTCTACCAAATACCGACAAGCAAAGCCACGCAATAACAAACAAGCAGAAGGAGGACCACCTCAACTTCTTATGCACACACAGTCTACTTCTAAAATGCACCTATTCAGAACTATCTAGATGAACACCTAAGTCTAATGCAACATAACATCACACAAGCCAAACAATACAAAGAGACTAACCCTGAGCAGGGCCTCTAACAAACCTGAAACAAGCTCCTAATCTATCTCTAAACAGAACTCTATACAAAACCCTAAGCAGAGATCTAAACAAACTCCTAGGCAAGAGGAATCAATCCCAGTCTCCAAGCTTCAGAACAAGCTTACCAGAGAAAGGAAGCTAAGCAGACAAGCTCATGGTATCTTCCTCAGGAAAGTACCAGGAGGTTACTACTCAGGAGTCATATCCTATGCGGCTCAACAACTGTGATCAGTTTACATTCCTCCTCAGGAGAAATTAAACTCACATGAAGGCTCCGGCATCACGGGATACTTGAGAAATACCTATATGCACTAGGGGAACTAAGTGAGCATACTCATAGGACCTTCCTCAGGAAAGTACTAGGAGGCTGACACTTAGGAATCGTATCCTACGCGGCTCAACAACTGTGATCAGTTTACATTCCTCCTCAGGAGAAATTAAACTCACAAGTCGGCTCCAACATCACTGGATACTTAAGAAATCCTAGATAAACTAGTGGAACTAAGTGAATAGACCCATAGGACCTTCCTCAGGAAAGTACTAGGAGGCTTCCACTTAGGAATCGTATCCCATGTGGCTCAACAACCTGTGATCAGTTTACATCCCTCCTCAGGAGGAATTAAACTCACAAGTCGGCTCCGACATCATTGGATACTTAAGAAAGAGGTGAGAAGGAAGGAATGAAAGTCATTCATAGTGCCTTCCTCAGGAAAGTACTATAAACCCCCTTCAAACTTCAGGATCTCGAACCTCACAAACAGACAACAAGCTCCTAGACTAAGCCTCAATCCACTGCATCCTTGCAAGCTCCAACAGGACTTCAATCAGCTCCCACCTTCCAGAAGAACCCACAGGCCAACAAACCACAGGAGACTATCTCTGAAGTTCAACCACAGTTGAACTTCAAAGTCAGAAGTCACCAAGACTTCTCCTATCTTCAGGCTCAGACAAATCACATCAGAACACCCTACAAAAATCTATCAAAAATCTAATGGGAGACCTACATGGCTCTAGGACAGCATACTGAAAAATCAGAACAAAATTCGATACCAGATGAAAGAACTAAAATCAGCAACACAGACATATTCACAGACCAATTATTCAAACATCAATAACAATGAAAAAATGCAGTTAAAATGAAAATGCATGATTGAGCTAATCTTTTTGTACTATAAAATTCTACACTGAATTACGAGTCTACAGAAAAAAGAACGGAATTATTTGACTAATTCTACCATTTTTTATGAATTTTCTAATGATGCGCATGCATTGAAAATATAAAAAAAAAATCAATTAATTGGGGAAATATGCACAAAAATAGGAAATAAAAATAAAATGCCATTTTTATTTTTATTTAATTTTCTAAACATTTTCATGAAAAAGAAGAAAAAAGAATTATTGAAGAAAAACCATTATTTACATTTATTAGGAATTATTTAACATGAAAATATAAAAGGAAAAATAAAAGAAAAGAAAATGACATGGGGGGTTCCATCAGCAATGGTTTTATGAGGGATTTCTAGCTGGGCCCTGATTGGGGGGTGCCAACAGCAGTTGGGCGCAGGGCCCAGGCTTACTAACCAAAAAAACAATAAAGAACTGAACTGGAACGCAGGGGGGGTGTTGCATTAGCAATTTCCAGTTAATATTACTACTGGGCTTACTCCCAGGGGGCGCAGTTAGCAATTTTGGGGCTTAAGGCCCAATTCAATCCGCTCAGTCTCACACGCTAAGGGAGGGAAAGCAAATTGGGAGGTGCAGCGTTCAGAAACACGCTTGGGCCTAAGCCCAATCCAAACAAACCCTAATCCAGTTACTCAGAGAACAAAACGAACTTCTCCTCCCCTAACCCTAGTACTGTTCATCCTCACCTCTCAACCCTAACGCCGCTCTGTTCATCTTTCTCCTCTCCCTCATCTCTCCCCTATCTGAAACTCTCAGACATCAAACGAATCCTCACAACAATCTAAACTGAACCCTAATACACCTCACCATCCTTCCCCTCTCAGTCCTACATCCAAACTAAATCTTCTTCAAAACAAAATTAACTCCATACGCTTCGACAATCAAGCAAGATGCAAACAAGGATCGAAGGAACACGCACCTGGATGAGCGAATCTTGAAGCTTCTGGAACCTTTAACACGAAGGTCTTGAGTCGTCTTGAAGAGAACTCAGAATCTGGAGTTCTGATGAGCGCCTATGAAGAATTCTGACAACGGATGGATCTCTTTAAAAATTTGGTGAACTCTGAAGATCTTTGAGGAAAATCGCGCGAGAGGAACTAGGATCGGTTGATGAAGTTGAAGATCCTCCTGGTGGATTCCTGGAAATCTGGCTTGAGGATTGACCGCCGTTTGAAGTTTCTGAGTTGTTCTTGCTTGAAGGATGAATGTTTAGGGTTTCTGGAAAAGTTGCTTGAGGACGATGAAGGTTGATGTTCAAGGTGATTTCTGGAGATTAGGTTGTATGAATTGATGATGATTTCTGGGAAACGTTGATGAAGAACGATGAGTGTATGAGCGTTTCTGGAAAAATTGGATGGAGACGATGAAGATTGATGTTGGTGAACGAAGGATTCTGGAAATATTGTTGTATGAAGATGATGAGTTTCTGGAAAAAATTGGGATGAAGGTATGAAGGTTGATGGGAGGAGATCGGAGGAAGAAGATGAAGATCTGGGGATTCTGGAGATCTTGGTGGTTAGGTGGTGGCCGGAGTTAGTTGACGGTGGCCGGAGTCCGTTACCGCCGGTTTTGCATGCCCGGCGAGGAGTCTCCGGTGAGGAAGTGAGGGAGACACGTGGTGTGCATGCGCTGAGGGAGAGAGAGAATGAGGGACACGTGGGATGCTGGGAAACGAAAAGGTGGGGCCTCTGCATGGCCAACACGTGGCCACTATTTATTACTCTGACATGCGCTGGAAACTTCTGGATTGTTCTGGTGCACGCTGGAAGTTTGGACGCTGACTGCTTTGGATTATTTTTGGACTATTTTCTGGACCCATTTTTCTGGACAAAAAAGCAATACTGGGCCTCCCAATTGGGCCCACGAAAATGAATAAAAAAAACTGTACAAAAAACTGAATTAACACAGTTAAACCTAATTAACTCTCATTAATACCAATTAGCATCTAATTAACTAATTACCCTAATCAACTATCTTAATCCTAATTAAATCTAAAAAACCTCAATTAACCTAATTAAACTCTAAAAAGTGATTAAGAACCTAATTAACTCTAAAAATTCAATTAATCCTAATTAATTCCAAATCAATCTAATTTTCTATTAAAAATCTAATATTATTTAATATCCATTAATAAAGGAAAAACTGTATCATTTTCTATATTATCTAAAAAACCATTAAACCTATTTAAAATCTATAGAAAAATTCTAAAAAATGATTATCTATTAGCAATAAAAGAAAAACTATGTTATCCTTTTTCTTTATTATTCTAAAACTATTCAAAATTTTATTTATTCTAAAAACTATTTTAAAAATCTATAAAATCCTAAAAAAGAGAATTAAGCTATTAAAATATTCAAAAACCCTATTTAAATTCCAGAAAAATTCTATAAAGCCTGTTAAAAATTCACAAAAAGTCTATAAAAATCCTAAAAATGCAGATGAATGCAAATGACTCCCATAAAAGCGCACGAGACCAGATTGAATCGAACGGAGATCCCCGGGCATCAGAATATCCCAAAATCACTGAAAAATCACCGAGGAGCGCACAATTTCCCGAAAATAAAACCCCGATAATCTGGACTGGGTCTGCCATATCTGATAGACAAAAATCAAGCTGTAACCCTGATATCCTCTGCTTGTGCACAAAAATCATACATCTGAGCTGCGAATATGAATTTAAACCATGAGTCAGATAGGAGAATCAGTTGGTCAAATTTTAGGGTGCAACACACAGTACTTGCTACTTCCGGCAATATAGACACAACATTTATGGGTTCTTCGAACAGAGTCAGAACCATTAGTACTAAGTGCATGACGTAGATGAAATGTTAGCTCAGATGTATTAGCAAGTATTTGAGGTAACATTTGTTGATTCTTTTGAGAAATACCCTTCTCAGTTCCATTTTCTTCTGCTTGATCTTCCATTGGTGCAGAATTGTCTTTTTGAGGTGGCGAGTCGGAGAATTCTGCCTTAAGATGGAGGCTACTTTTGTTCTCAGTCGCATCAACTCTTTGAGATTGAACCGAAGCTTCAAAACTATGAAGGGTTTGCTGAGGAAGCGTAGTTTGATTTATATTTCTACCAGCACCATGATAAAAAGAGGGTCCTGTATCGGGTGTAGGCTTGAAGGCAAAGGATGATGCATACATATCATTAAAGCCATTAAGTTTAAATTTTTGTTGATCATCAGAAGATAACTCTGTGCCGCGGATATTTCCGTTTGAGACAAATGGAAACTTCCCTGTTGTTGGAGATGGTTGTGCCAACGAATTCGCAAGGAAAACAGGAGAATCTAAAAGTGTAGCAGGACTAAGACCAAGCGGTATAGTCAAATACGGAGACTGAATCTCAGAATTGAGCGAAAGCTCTGTAGATCTAATGCCTTCTGTATTCAACCTTGGCGCATTAAATCCGGTTCTAGCAGCAATTCTTTCAACAAGACCACCTCGCGAGTTCAGCTTATGATCGTTTCGATAACTTCCGTCGCTCAATTGGGTACCCGAATCACCATCTTGCACCTCAATTCTATCACTTTCAGATTGTTCAGAGATTTGTCTTGTTACACTATTACTCTCTTCATCTAGCATTCGAGAAAATAGGGTTCTCGGACTCGGATTCGGAAGACCCCAATCACCATTAAGTACAACATTTTCATCAATCCCAGCCATTCAAACCTCACTTTATCAATCAAACACCTAACCTAGAAAATAATGAATAGTAAAGATGAGATTTTTAACATAAAAATCAGACAAGAGAGCTCAACCACCACTGGAAATGATTAGAACAGAAGAATCGGATCCGAGAAACCCGAACCCGACCCAAAAATTTATCTGGGTCTCTCTTTGTTGTTGCTAATCTTGAGAGTAAATGAAATGATTCATCTTTTCTTTTTTTCTCTCTTGGCTTTGGATGAAAAGTACTTTTTATTTTTTTTTTCTGTGTAACTTTGTACTCACACGATGTTAATGAGTTTAAAAATCTTATCTCTTAGTCATAGAACTCTCTTTGAAGTACCATTATTAATGTGACATATCCATGGATGAGAAATTCTTGTAACACCTTGTAATGAAGCTTGGTTTGAATTAATCCGAAATCATGATGGCTCATAATAACAAGCGCTTGAATTTCCATGTAGATTTAGCCTAACAATCATACTATCCAAATTCCCAACATCTCCAATGGTGAACTGAAACTTTGAATCAATTCCAAGAATCAACCCTCTACTCAAATTTGACTTTGAATGAGCTTGTACCATTCTTGTAGTGATAATGACTTATATCCTTGATTTTCTGATTTCTTGCTCAAAAATCCATAATGATATTTTGCAAATACAACATCTTCATCACATAAAAAATGAGAACAAAATTCTATCCATGATTTGCAAAACATCAATATTAATCTTTAAGGCCTATTCAAACACGAATCTTGAGGCAAGCATGAGTCACTCCTCCTTTAGAGCATGAATTGTCATAATTTGCACAAAATTGAAATAAGTTCAACCATAACTTATCTCACTTAATTCTCATAACCTCAATACTTATCTAAGGATGTGACTCCAAGAATATTGGAACACAAAAAACAAAGATATTCCAAAATCTCTTAAAAATGATTAATCAAGCCTTAAAAGGGATCAAACCTATCACTTGAATCAATAATCTCTAGTCCTCAATCATGAAATAAAACTCGCCAGACCAAGATCAAATCAGACCTGACTGATTTCCAACCTTTACTGGGCCCACACATGGATACAGATAGCCCTTCAATGAACCTCAATGATTACCACATACCACCGTCCTGCTAGCCTAAAAAACACCTCATTTCCTTTCAAACCGGCCTTATGAGGTCTTGAATTTGGGGCAACAAGTAGAAACAACATATCTTTTGATTTTCAGATTAACGGTTGATGGGAAGATGTACAGACAAGGGATGAACATGTAGGACAAATTTGGGGTATGCTTATGCAATGCGATATGCTAATGCAATGAAATTAAACATAAACTAAAATGGAGAAAATGTAGGGCAAATTTTGGGGTACAACAGCTGCCCCTATTCAAGCGACTTAGACCTGAATGGATGAAAAGCGAACATCTTTCAGACGATCATGGTAAAAGGCGGTTGAATACCAAAGAGACCTGAAATTTGCCAACCGTAAAAGGAACTTCTGACATCGCCGTCGGGTACCCATATTAAGTGGAACATCTAACCTCGCCGTCAGCTCCTTTAATAGCATCTAACCTCGCTGTCAGATCTCAGCGTCGAAATTATAAATCAACTGACTTTATCGTCGGTCTTCAATATTTTCTGACTTCGCCGTCAATTTTTTCACAGAACTTTGGTAAAGCCCCTGACTTCGCCGTCATCTCTTAAAACAAACTTCTGACTTCGCCGTCATTTCCAACAGTTTTGACTTCGCCGTCAATTCTTAAAATAATCGGTAAAAGCATCTGACCTCACGGTCAGGCCTCGACATTAAGTCGGTAAAAAGATCTAACCTCGTCGTCAGTCCTCTGTTAAATACAAACAGATATTGAATCCAAAGATACGATCCTCCGACATCGCTGTCAAGACAAAACCCAACATCGCCGTTGGAAGAACCAAATTACCTGACATCGCCGCCAAGAACAAACATCTAGCATCGCTGCTAAAAAAACACTCGACCTCGCCGCCGAAAATAAACACCCAACCTCGCCGCTGAATAAACAAATTATTCCGACATCGCCGCCAGAAACAATCATCCAACCTCGCCGCTGAACAAACAAATTATTCCTTCATCGCCGCCGAAAATAAACACCCAACCTCGCCGCTGAATAAACAAATTATTCCGACATCGCCGCCAGAAACAATCATCCAACCTCGCCGCTGAATAAACAAATTACTCCGACATCGCCGCCAGAAACAATCATCCAACCTCGCCGCTGAATAAACAAATTATTCCGACATCGCCGCCAGAAACAATCATCCAACCTCGCCGCTGAATAAACAAATCATCTAACATCGCCGTTAGAAACAATCATCTAACATCGCCGTTAGAAACAAACTTTCAACATCGCCGCTGAAAACCAAATCACTTGACATCGCCGTCAAGACCAACATCGCCGTCGAAGAATCAGATCATCTAACATCGCCGTTAGAAACAAACTTTCAACATCGCCGCTGAAAACCAAATCACTTGACATCGCCGTCAAGACCAACATCCTCAACATCACCGTCGAAGAATCAGATCATCTAACATCGCCGTTAGAAACAAACTTTCAACATCGCCGCTAAATACTAAATCATCTAACATCGCCGTCAGAAACAAATTTCTCAACATCGCCGTTGAAGAATCAAATCACTTGACATCGCCGTCAAACCTTCGCTAAATACGAGCGAGCAACGAGATTCGAACGAATTTAAGACCATCCTTTGGTGACAATCACAAAAGAAATCCGCTGGGGAAGAGGGGCTTAACCAAACAACTATGGCAGGGAGAAAACGAGAGAAACTCAACCAAGTAACTCCGTTGGGTAATACATAATAAGATGATGTTACGCCATGGTCTAGATACCATTTTGGCTAAAGGTAACATTCACGTTGTCAGAGTCTGAATACTCGAGGGACATCGGAGCCTGGACGCTCAAAGCAGATATACCAGAGTCTGAATACTCGAGGGACATCGGAGCTTGGATGCTCAATGCACTTATGAGCCATGGATGCTCTATGCAAAATACCGGAGTCTGGATGCTTGGTTAATAAATATGAGTCTGGATACTCAATAATCTGAGTCTGGATACTCAAAAACTGGAGCCTGGATGCTCAATGCAAATCTGAGCCTGGATGCTCTATGCAACAAACCTGAGTCTGGATACTCAATGGACAAAAGAGATCGGTAACTGCCATGATCTGAATACCACACAGGCAAAGATGACTAACTACCGGAGAAAACCAAGAGTCGGGTCTGGATATCATGCAGGCTAACAGGAACATATTAATTTGCCATGGTCTGGATACCATATAGGGCTAGCAACAAAATCATCAACCGAAGTTCGACGACGCTGCTGGGGAGAAACGTAAGCCGGGGTCTAGATACCACGCGAGCTGACAAAAAGTATTACGGTCTGGATACCAATCTTTAACTTTCCATGGTCTGGATACCATATAGGCACAAATATCAACCAAAATTTGCCAGGTCTGAATACCTTGCGGGCAACATAATTCAACCATCTGCTGAAAACAAATATCTGAGAACAGAGCGGTAACCACCTGGCTTATGTTTCAGATGCATATGTTTGAGAATGGCGTAATGCTCCATGCAAAATGGAAATGCTACGCTTTTAGGTAGATGCTATGCATGTATGTAGATGCAAATGAACCACTCTAGCAAAATAAATGCTAAAGAGAAAGAGAGCCAACTCCGCTAGGGAAAGACTAGATACGCCTAGCGCAAACAAACTCATGTTGGGGAACACAAGCCCTGGATGACCTCTGATAAAAAACTTCTGGGTAAAACTGCTCTGTTGAGAACAAAACCAACCCTCTGGGGATCCAAATCAAACTCTGCTACGAAAGACGTCCCGGATGGCCTATCAGCCTACAACTCTTTTGGGGAACACAACTTGGCTGGAGACAACCACTCCACTCTACCGGGGAAAACAACCATGAATGATTAGCCAGAATAACTCTACTGGGGATCATAGCAGATTGCTGAGGAATAGCTCCATTCTGTCGGAGATTGAATCCGCTATCTGCTAGGGATTTTGAATAAGACTTACTGGGAGCTTATCCTAAACTATCTCTGCTAGGGATGGGGATAAACAATCTCTGAGTCAGTTCCACTCTGTGGGGAAGGAAATTAACTCCGCTGGCTTGGCTGGGGATTAGATAAGGAGGGAATCAACATCAATTTCTGCTTGGGGAAAATGAGAAGTAAACTCCAACAATACTTCCGTTTGGGGAATGAGTCAATGACCTAGACTCTGAGGGGAAAGAAGTCAACCATTTAGACTTTGTAGGGATAACAGTACTGCACTCGCCCTACTGCTGGGGAAATAAACCCAAATCTGCTTCTATAATTCTGATAAGCTCTGAAGATATGGAGAGGAACACATCTCCTTTGTTTCCAATTTTGCCCCAGCCTGTGGAACCTGATGGTTAGATATGAATTGCCTCAGCGCTTCGAACCCCGAAGAGGTACTTCAAGTCAATTTCCTTTCTGGGTAAGGATAGTTGTCGTGATCCTGGGGTGGCCTGCCCCAGCTTTGAAGTGATTTGCCCCTGATTGGCTGATTTGGAGAAGTGCCTTTGACTTCGAGAGATTTACCTAATCTCGACCTAATTCCCCCAAATTAACGGACCTTAGGGAATGGCGTCTTCGACTGGCCTTCGAGTGGTTTGATGAGTCTCGACCTGATTGCTCCAGATTAGCTGCATCTAGAAATGACCGACTCTGCTTATGTTTACTTGATGTGACTTGCCCCTGCTCAAAGGAGTACTCGGGCGCTCTATATCTATCAAACTTCGCATTGTAGAAACTTTCCTGATGTCAAATGCTTTCTCGCGAGTAAAACAATTTGTTTTGCAAAAGATAATATTAATGCAATGCATATGACAGTTTTGAAATCCAAGTCTGTTCACTGGAAAAAAAAATGTGGCATTTAGTGAACGAATCACTTATCAGAAATATCAATAT